GAGAGAGAGAGAGAGAGAGAGAGAGAGAGAGAGAGAGAGAGAGAGAGAGAGAAGAACAGGAGGTCTCCACTGGTCATGCTAAACTAGCAGTATGTACCTGAGTGAAATGGCTCCCCAGGACACCAGACTACTAGAGCAGAAATAACCCAGGAAGATTCAAACAGCAAGTATTTGGAAAACACAGTTTGGGGAGTAGCCAGTCTACTGTTAGAGGTCATCCCCCAGTAACTGTGCAGTCTAATAAGGAAATCGTAGTCTGAGTCTTGTTCATTTGAAGATAGATGGAGATCAGCATAATTCATACTATTTTACTATTGGAGCCCAATGTGGGGCTTAAACCCATAACCCTGAGATTAAGAGTCTCATGCTCTACTGACTAAGCAAGCCACGTTCTAGAATGGCTGTCAGCAAATCTCTTCAGTCCTTTACAGTTATACAAGTCTGTGTAGCCGTTATAGTTTAACAGGTGAGAGTAAACCTCTTTAAACCCTTTTAAATGAGTTTAATCATTAGGGCTCACAGATTGGACAGAACTGACTTCCACAAGTTTTCCTCTGAACTCAACATTCAAGTACACATACAACAAATAAATAAATGTAAAAAATGTCCAGCAATGAGCCTAAAATATGTAAGATGTTTGGGCTGACATATACTGAACTTGACTGAACACCACAGGAAATCTGAATTAAAGTGGAAACATTTATGAATAAAAAGATACAGTATTGCGGAAGTGTAAAGTCTGTCACTAAGAGAATCTAAACTTCAGCACATCATTTATAAAAGTACTAACAGGAATTTACAGGATACTGAGTAACACAGTACAAATAAAGATCACCACACAGAAACAAAGGAAACACTCAGAGACTCATCTCAGGAGGATGGCCCCACTCACAAAGCAATGTTTCTGTAAGGCCACAGTCACTTAAAAAGGAGAGATTTTGCAGTAGAATAGACAAAAATATCAAAAGAACTGATTTTGGAACATGGATTTGTGAATTAAACATACCATATGCTATTACTTCAAACCACTCAGCAAAAAATACAACCTTGGGAGAGCCTCAAACTGAAGCCCGGCACTCAAGTGAGCTACAGTGATCAAGGGAGAAACTGAGATGGAGACCTCTTCACGGTTTTCCTCCATGGTTGGAAACCTTCACCTCACCCATCAGCAGTACCGGGCGATAAGAAGGCACTTCCGGTTAGACCCCCAACCCAAGGGAGAAGACTCTGGAGGCCTTGGCTGATGCACTCAACCTGAGAAAGAAACACGTCAAGGCCTGGTTCTACACGATGCAGAATCAGAGGGTGCGCTACTTGCTTTCTAAGATCTACAGGCAGCAGAGAATGTTGTGTCGCCAGTATATATCAAGAGCGACCAGGCAGACGAACCCCGAGGAGTCCTCTCAAAATGACCCTGGACTCCCAGAAGCTTTGGAAGCCTTGAAGAATCACACACTCTCTGGATTCCAAAGCACAGTTGGCACGTCACAGAATTGCTGACTTCAACTTCCTTGTTGGGGTAGGGGACGTTGGGATTTATGTCTATGGAAGGTATATTAATAATAAAGTTTGCGGGCTGGAGAGATGGCTTAGTGGTTAAGAGCACTGACTGCTCTTCCAGAGGTCCTGAGTTCAAAATCCCAGCAACCACATGGTGGCTCACAACCATCTGTAATGAGATCTGATGCCCTCTTCTGGTGTGTCTGAAGACAGCTACAGTGTATTCATATATAATAAATAAATAAATCTTTAAAAAATAATAATAATAATAAAGTTTGCATTTACAGAAACTAAAAAGAATAACCTTTTAATGCCCTTGGAACACTAAAATATAACCATTTATTCACTAGTTAAAGAAGTACGTGTGTGCAAGCCATACCAGGCTTAGTTACCCTAGTGTAACCCTAGCATTCAGGAAGCATTGGCAGGAAAGGAGGAGGAAGAACAGTTCAAGGCCAGCTTGGACTATGTAATAGCCTGTCTCAAACAAAACAAAAATATGCCACATGCCATTCATTTGTCTTGAGACAGAATATCTCTGTAATTAGCTTTGAAAAGTTGTGATCCTCCAGTCTCAGCTTCCTAATGCTAAGACCGTAGCCATGAGCCACCAGCTAGCAAAGGAGGTTTTTCTTATACAAGACACAAAATGAAAATAACATAAAAATAGTAATCTAGTTAAAATTAAACACTATTACACAATGAAATACAGCATGAAGTTACAAGATTGGTAACAAATGAGCAGAATAATTCATAGCATATATAACAAACTAACTTCAGAAGCTTCACCCCTACTGTCTAGTGTTAATAGTGCTGAAGAGTCTCTATATTCTACGGGAGGAGAAAAGTAGTCATGAAGACCATCCTGCTACAAACCCTGTGACCTACACACAGTGACCTTCCTGCAAGATGTACTGATGCAACCAGCTGCACAACTGTATGGAAGTATCCAGCCTCTTTTTGATCGGATCTAAGGGCCTCTGCTTGGTATTACTGAAGTGGAAAGAACCAGAGCTAGCTAAGTCCTGGGCCTAGAGAAAACTTAGCACATGTATTACACTAAAGGGACATAACAATAAAACTCCTCCTAATGACACACTGTAGCTCAGTACCTCACTCAACACACACTAGACAGGCTTCTTGCACAGACTCACTACAGGACAATGTACACTGTGACAACCTTTAGAGCACAGTTTTAAATGAGATGTCTTCTTCAAAGCTCTTCCCCTCAAGGTTCAAGGAGCCATGCAGAAGAAAAGGTGGAGAGATGCTAAGAGCCAGAGGATAACCTGACTCCAGGGAAGGTGTCCTCCACACAGTAGGACCAATGCATATGAACTCAGAGACTGTGCACACAGAATGTACAGATTCCTCCCAGCACCGACAG